TTTACCGTTGGCTGACATCTTGGGAACCCTGGAGTTGTTCTGGGGGTTGAACATACTTTGGAGCAAAGTTCCTACATGATATCACTGGAAGAGCATGTTTGGGTCACCTTTGCTGCTGGACACTGCTATATATTTGGCTTTGACCAACATGGTTTAGTGGGAGGTGTCCCTGCCCATGGCAGGGAGGCTCGAACTAGATGATCTTTAAGGTTCCTTCCAACCCAAAGCATTCTATGAAAAAGCAAAGTCAAGCCTGAACACCACAATTCTGCTCTTGTGAGGGGAACCAGCACCCACAAAGGGCACATGGGAATGACAGAAAGGAGACAGAGAGAATCAGGAGAGGCGATTAAGTTGATTCTCCAACCACAGCGGAGACACCAGCGAGATGCTGAGGACAGCATTTTTCTATCATGCTTTGATGCATCTTGATAACCATGCTGCTGATGCTGGAGGCAGTTCTCCATCTCTTCTCTATATATTACATGCTAGGAAACCTTTCTGATCCTATCTAAAAGCTCCTTTGCTTCTCTGGGGACCCTGAAGTAAAAAGTGGGGAGAATGGAGCAGCCATTCTCTTTGGAGAAGAGACTGAAAGGATCTCATCCCATCACACACCAGTTTACACTTCCCGGTCCAATGTATAAGACTTTTCCCTGGATTGCAGGGTTCCAACAGGGCCGCCTTCTTTTTCATCATTTTTTTCCCTAAGTTTGACACATGTTAAACTTGCAGACCTTCCCTTTGGAGAAGAGGCTGAAAGGATCTCATCCCATCACACACCAGTTTACACTTCCCGGTCCAATGTATAAGACTTTTCCCTGGATTGCAGGGTTCCAACAGGGCCGCCTTCTTTTTCATCATTTTTTTCCCTAAGTTTGACACATGTTAAACTTGTGATCTGTTCTAACAGCCACCGCAACTTCTTTTTTCTGCCAGATTGCTGCAAGGGAGATTTCCTCATCCTGTCTTTGTGCAGATGACGGGCCCACACTAACTGCAGAGCTTTGTGCTTGTCCTTCCGAAATTACGTCCCCTTTCTCAGACCGTCGCTCAGATTTATCGGAGTCACTCAGAACTCTCCTGTTTGCAGAGTCTCTCCGTTTGTCACCTGCAAGCTCAATGAATTTATTCTCTAATCCATCATTTAAACCAGTAATTAAAACATTGCATCATACCGGAGCCAAGGCAAGCCACAGAGGACCCTATTTAATAGATCATTCCAGTTTGACAGCAAACTGTTGACAGTTATTTGCTAATGATTTTAGCCGGGCTGTGTTCTCATAGCCTGCTTATGAGACTGTCATGTGATATGGCACCAAAAGCTTTATTAGCCGTGAGCTATGTGACAGGTACCACTTTTTACCCTAACTACAGATTTTTGCCATTTTGTCACAGGTGGGAATAACACCCGTCTGTCACAAAGCTCTTGCTGTTCATCCCCATCTCCTTGATAGCCTCCGCACCACTGCAAATCGTTTGATGATTTATTTCAGGCTGTTTTCCCAGTCTGGGGTCTGGCTCGACTGCTCTGTATGTCCCCAGAGTCTCCCCCATCTCTGGAATACCCAGATTTCCCTGTTGTGAAGAAAGAGGAGCAGGTTTGGTAGGGTTTGGTAGCTGTGATGGATGCCAGATATTTCTTTTCCCCATCCCTCTGTGCACGGACACCACTAATTTTGGCTGATATCCCTCGCTGATGTGCATATTCATATTGAGAACGCCACCTTTTATTCACCTAGACCTGCACCCTGATTAATTTTAATGTTCTCACTTTTGATGTTGGCTAATCCCTGTTAACCTCATGAACATCTGCAGAAGCAAAATGGTGCTGTTACCCTTGTGTTAGATGTGGTTCTATCTCTGCACACGTGGAGTCTTCCCTTTCACTCTGCGTGTTCTGCAGCTTGGAAGCAAAACTACATCTCCTGCCTCCGGGTGTGCAACTCAAACTTGTTGTAAGATTGCAGAACAAATCCTACGTTGAAGTGGCACCTCCAAGCATCACCTGGATGTCTTCTCCCAGCAAGCACAGCGAAGCCTGAGGAGCACCACCAACCAAACCTAACACTGCGGCTTCATTTGAAAAGGCAAATGTGACTGATTCTTCCCATGGAGGAAGAGGAGGCTTGGCTGTCTGTGCCCAAACTCCTGAGTCACAGGAGCCCTGATCTTCTACCTGCCCCTTTCTCCAGCCAAGGGGAGGCAGATTCCAGCGTGGAAGGAGAACTTGACCTTGTCATTAGCCAGGCCAACATATTCTCACCCCCAACCAAGGACAGCTTTTAAGTGTCCTCCTTCCTTCTTTATTTCTTCAAAAGAGTTTCAGTGATTTCCCACTCAGAGCATCAGCTCTGACAAAGTCCCTTCATAAATCCTACCCACATACTCACTTTTCAGAGACCTTCAGCTCCTCGTTCACGACTGTGGACTTTCAGTCCAAGATCCAGGTGGGTGCTGGTATGACTGTCAATGCAACCAGAAAATCCTCTTAACCACAGTGAAAACCTTAAGGCACTTCAGTCAGTGTAATCCTGGTGGGATCAGGCGCTCTGGCATCCAGAAATTTCAAGAAAGGAATAAGTTCCTCTACGTTTGTAGACAAGGAGACCTAGGAACCCCTTTGTCCATTTCATCTTGTTGAAGGAAACATCCATTCAGGTGCTATCAGCAGGCAGCACCTCAACTAGCATGGTGAAGAGGAGAGGAAGAGCTAGGAAGGCAATAGGGACCTGCAAGGGGGCACACAGTAATTCTTGCAGAAGTCTGCTGGCAGGAGAAAGTCCCTGAAAGCAGAACCAAGCAGCTTTTTAAGAGTGTCCAATTGCTGAGGAAGCCAGTGCGGAAGTGGAAGGTCTCAGGGAGACCTCAGCAGTGTTTGCTGGGCTCAGCGGGGCTCTGAGAGGACCACATCTCCCTCCAAGCCTTGCAGCATCTCCTACTCTGCTGCTCTAAAAGAAAATCTGGATGAGGTTTGCTGTCCCTCCTTCACTCTGCCCATCCTGATGCCCTACGCATCACCAGCCCCAGTAGATTTGTCTCAACCTTTGACTTGCTCTCTCTCAAGGCCAGCTGGCCTCACCCACCAGGTCTTTGCCTTCTCACGTGCAGTGAAAGTAGTCGAGATATGAATTGCTCCTTCTGCTTCCCCTTTCCTGTGCCAACTTGCCTGATGGTAAAGACAGTTAATGGCTTTGGCCTGGAGCCCAAAGTTCCTGGGGATATTTGAAAGCACCCAATGTATTGCAGGGAAGAAGTGTCCTCTCTCTGTGCAGATCACTCATGGAGCATGTATTCATGGCATCAGGATGCAGCGTGGCCATCACAGCCCCTACTAGCACTACCAGCCCCTGCCTTTAGCAGCTGGACATCTCTTCCTTCCTTTTGGTTTAAGAAGTCTTTCCCTTCCCCTTTTTCATCATAGCTTTTCTTCCCTTTTATGATTGTCTTTGGTGAGAGGAAATTAAGAGCACGGCAAGTTCACGTTTGGCCTTCTTGACATCTGTCACCTCTGGATACGGCTCACCAGGATGCTCAGATCAACAGGCATCAGCATCTTCTTGTCCCTGCCCAGCCCTGTGGTGTCTCCTCCTTCGTTTGCTTTGTTTCCCTCCTGTCCATTAAACAAAACGGATAAAAACCAGGCACCAGACTTCAGAGTTCACAGTAAAAAGCATGAGGTCAATGAGGCGTCTTTGGTTCCTCTTGGGAACCCAGTTGCTTTGTAATCCAGACAGCGTGAAACGTCTCAAAAAATGTGCAATCAAAACACAGCAGACTTCCAAGGTAGTGCTTCAGACAAACCAAAGATCTCATTTAGCCACCAAATACAACATCTCATCCAAAAAAAAAAAAAACCCTTGAATTGTTTGGATGAGCTCTGGTTTCCCCCAGAACACAGCTGAGCGAGCAATGCTGCCAACTCTTCTTTTTTTTTTTTTCTCTTTTCCAGAAAACTGAGCTTGCAACAGGGGCTATGACCAAGAACCTCGGGACTGTTTGTGTTAGCCTCTGGCTGCCTGCCCTTCTTCCTCTCTGCAGACACCCCCAGGCCTCCTACAGAGCTTTTCTGTCTCCATTCAGCTGCAGCTCTCGCAGGGAGAGGAGGGAGCAGAGATCCTGAAGCGCAAAACCAAACAAAGCCCAGCACAATCAATCATTTCTCTGCCAGGAACATGGTTTTGTAGAAACCAACGCACGATCTCTAAATGACTGGGGTTGGCAACAGCTGCCAGGTTGATTTGGCCCTGCACAAAAAAAAAAAAAAAAAAAAGAAAAAAAAGAGAGAAATAGATATGGGGACATCGTCTTTTCCAGCTGGACCAGGTCCATGAGGAGGTGGTGTGCAAGCAATTCCCAGCTCAGTGCTCACCATGCTGCCCCCCAGCTTCCCTCCTCCCTCCCATCTCCCCGTTGGTACCCTGCCATGGCCTCTCCTCTCTCTGCAACGTTTGCTCCTCTCTACCTTCTCCCCAAGCTTGGCCAACACACTGGACCCAGGCGATAAAGAATGCTCATTTCAAAACATGATGCCCCTACGAGAGCAAAGAGGCAGAGGAGCCAGAAATTGTGTCCTGTGGAGGCTGGAGGGATGTCCAAAATACTGCCAGAAATAAGTTTTCCCTCTTCTTACTTGTTTATGAACTGCTTGACTGATGCGTGATAACCAACTTGCTGTGAAGAGAAGACACTGAACATCCCCTCTGTACTGACAGAAGGCAGGATGGGTTGTTGTTCCTCACAGTACTTCGAAACTCAAAGAGACAGAAATATGTCTTCAAGGATCTCTTCAGAGCTGTAACGATTTGAAGCCTGAACATGTCAAAAGGGGCTGTCTTTTATGTGTTTTCTTAGGTGACTTGAATGTCTGGGGACACTTAGGATTCAAGTAGGCTTAGGAAATCAATGAGAGTTCAGCTCCTAACTTATTTAGACTTTCTCGAAAATCCCAGGGGAAGCTCAGCCACAAAGCACGACACTCTGAGAGCAGTAATTATCCCAGAGCAACACACTTTTATTTCAGCCAACCACGCCATCACGGGGAGCGTTTCCTGACCCATCAGAGTCCACAGGCAAAGATGTAAGCGGTAGCGGTTAGGACACCCAGGGACATCACTCCGTAGCTGCTGTGCTTGCTGTTGACTCCATTCACGTTGCACAATGGCTTCTCACAGCAATAAACCCTCTGGTAGGTTTGGTTTTGTTGCTGGCTTCTTGATGGACATGTTGGAGAGCACATCTTAGAGATGACGTATTTAGGCTTGTTGGGCTCTAATGAAAAAGAGAAGTCCGGGGGTGGGGGGAAAGAAAGATTACAATGTAAGAATCATCATTAAAATGTTTCCCTGGCTACATTGGTGAATAAAAGGACTGATCCCCAAGGCAAATATGTCCTCTGCTTAGATCTAGCAGTAATCTGGTCACGTCCACACTGCTGCAACATGATGCTGGTCTTCTCTGGGCTCCATGTTTTCTCTGTCCCTAAAGTGGGACATGTGTGGGTGGCTTTCTGTTCCATGAAGCCCATTTAGATTGTTTTCCTACAGCATAAACCCAGGAGGAATATACTGTATGACCTGAGATTTGGTCTGAGAGCACACAAAGGTGTTTGAGGGTGCAGAGCCCCAAGAAGAGACCTGAAGGATTGTGCATGGCAGAAGGAGTCAGTGGTGCTGCAGTTTTGCCCAAACATCTTTGAAAACAACCCTGGGAGTGAATGTTGCCATAGCAAGAGCTGTCTGGAGCAGTCAGCAGAAAGCTGGGGGGAGCTAACCATGAAGCAGCACACCCAGCCCCAGGTTTGAGTTCACTCTCTGGTGCTGCTACACGTCTCTTCAGCATTTCCCCAACTCCGGGTACCAATATCAAGTATATAAGGACACTGCAGTGGCTGCAATAGTGAGCAACAAGGTCACTGTTTCCTTACAGTTGGTGACTGGGGGCTTTTGTTTCATAGAATCATAGAATGGTTCAAATTGGAAGGGACCTTAAAGATCATCCAGTTCCAACCCCCCTGCCCTGGGCAGGGACACCTCCCACCAGACCAGGTTGCTCAAAGCCCCATCCAACCTGGCCTTGAACACCTCCAGGGATGGGGCAGCCGCAACTTCTCTGGGCAACACATTCCAGTGTCTCACCATCTTCACAGGAAGGAATTTCTTCCTAATATCTAATAAAAATCTCCCCTCTTTCGGTTTAAAACCATTACCCCTCATCCTATCGCTCCACTGCCTGATGAATTGTCCTTCCTCTTCTCTCCTGTAGGCCCCCTTTAGGTACTGGAAGGGGTTATAAGGTCTCCCTGGAGCCTTCTCTTCTCCAGGCTGAACAACCCCAACTTTCTCGCCTGTCTTTAGAGGAGAAGTGCTCCAGCCCTTGGATCCTCTTTGTGGCCCAGTGTTTCTATATGTGGCCCTAACTAGGAGTAAAGCTCATTCCTGGGGCTGCTCTTCAGCACGAGCAAGGTGTTATTCAGAAACGTACCTGTTCCAGCATAATTACGGACAGTCACGCAGTATTTGTCTTTCTCTGCACACATGGAAATGGTCAAACAGTTCTTGTTGGACTCCTGTTCTTGGCAGACATAGCACATAAATGGGTAAGCTGGGTGGAAAAAAAAAAAAAAGAAAAGAAAGAAAAAAGCACATTACATGCTTTAGGAATCACAATACCTACAATCCAGATATCTCCATTTTCCTAGTTACAGCCTGATGAATGCTGGTGTGTGAATGACCAGTGACTTTCTTTATCCGTTGACCCGTGGCAGCAAACGTTAAATCCCTCTCTGTCTCATACGTCTCAGACTGCGAAGCGTTATCGATCTGTTTGCAATCTCTGCCAACGGTAGATGTGAGTGGAATTCAAGGATTTGGGGTCTTTTATGATGGAGATTATTGCTGAGCGATAGCTCCTCTGTCCTGAGAGCTCTGCCACGTGAATTGCCAATTACTGTTCAGTCGCTTCTCCTGGATGAGCTTGGGCCAGGCTTGCCAGGGATAACTTGAGGATGCCTGGAGCGTTTCGAGGAGGTGGACAATCCCTAGTGTCCTACTTCTCTTTCATCTGGCTTGGAGACTACTGTCACGTATCCTTTCTTGTGGTGGAACACCACTCCCAGGAGAAGGACAATCCCTTCTCTTTCATCTGGCTCGGAGACTACTGTCACGTATCCTTTCTTGTGGTGGAACACCACTCACTGAACTGGCCTAACCTCAGTCCTGGGAAGTCTGGCGAGAGCAGTCGGGTGCTCTGTCAAACTTCTGCATGCTGCTGTGAGATAGAACATAAATGGGAAGTCTTAACCAAAAATATGGCTTAACTGGTAAACGCAGACTTTCGTGCAATAATTCAAACATCTGCAATACAGACATAGAAGAAGACTGGCAGGAAGGGCAGTGAGTTGTCTCGTGTGTCCAGAATGTACTGCTTGCCCTCAAATCCAGAAGGTGGTAGGACAGACTTCTGGAAAGCCTCTGGAAAGTAATGATAAAAAAGGAAGGAGAGCAAAAACACACCCTGGATGTGAAACCACACCAAAGTGTCTGCAGAACACTCCCTGACTAGGCAGATAATTTGATTTATAGATTTGGTGGTGGTGGTTGGGTTCTGAGCTTGTGAAATCACCCCGCGCAATGGGGTTTTGTGTGCAGGAAGAGGGAATGAGTGACTATAAAAACGCAGACGTTTTTGGAAGGGGAAGCAAACACAGCGCAGAATGCTTGCTAAGTTCCAGATAAGTCTGGGGACAGTGTGTCAGTATGGAAGGGGCAGAAAGCAACTTGAGGACATGTTCCCGTGAGCTCAGTTGTGCCCGATAAGAAGTTGGCAGCAAGATGAAGTAGAAGGGCAGTGTAGGTCAGAGAGTCCATTAAATGTGAACTTCCTGATGGAGGGGAAGGGAAGGGAAGGGAAAGGAAGGGAAAAAATTATCAACTGTTGATGCTGAGAAGGTCATAAAACAATGTAGCTTTTTTGCTTCATTCAAAACCAAACCAGTTGAATCTTCATGTACAAGGTAGAGGAGATACAATAAGGTTTTACCAAATATTTTGGCACAATCTTGAATGACATTGTTATGAGCAAGCCTAGGGAACACAAGTTAGTGAAAATGCAAAGAATGGGTGAAAAGCCAGCCATGAAATTACACTCATGGGATAGTTCATGATGGTTATTGATCAAACCGATTGGAACAATGCAATTCATAAGGACCTCCAGAGCTCTGCTGTGGGCTCAGATCTATATGATACCATCACTAGTGGCAGTAGGAGTGGGATAGGGGATACACGTCACATTTTCAGGTGATGCCAAGGTCAAAGTAGCTGAAAACATACTTTAAGTAGAGTTCTCAGTGATTTTGATGGATGTGATAAAAGAATGCAGTTCAGTGAAGAGAAATATATTACACTAAGATAAAAAATTAGCCACTTAAATGTAGGACGAAGGGCAACTTGTTGAGTTACAACTAAGGACTGCAGTGTAAACAGCAGGAGTCAACCGTGTCACATTACGGTGATGAAAACAAACGTCACCCAAGGGAACACAAGCAACAGTGTCATGTGAGAGATATGCAAAGTGGCCTTTCCACTCTGGCTCAGCCTCAGCTGGAAACAGCAATGACCAAATCTGTACGTGGCACTTCAAAAAATATGCAAAGCATTTGGAGAGAGACCAGAGGAGAGGGAGGAGAAATGGCCAGAGATCTTGAAAACATGACCTCATAGAAAAGGTTGGAAGCATTTAGGTAGTTTATTAAAAATGAGAAAATTATGAGGAAAGATGCAGCAAAAAAGAAGCTGGAAAGAAGAAAGAAATAAACTGTTCTACATATCCTACGGTGAAAATACAGGAGAACTCTTCAAAAAGACATGTTAAGAGATATTAAGACTAACTTTCTAAAAGAACTAGAGTCTGAGCAATTCCAGGTTGTGGAATCATCTTTGTTGAAAACTTTCAAGGACACATTAGACAGTCATCCACCTGGCTTGGTCCAGCATTGGAGCAGGGAAAAGGATCACAACCTTGTAAGATCTCTTTTGGACATAATATATCTGTAACAGTGAGTTCATGGACACAAATGGCAACAGACAGTCTCTGGTAGGCTGAAGTCTTGATCAAAAGTTGCTTATTAGAGTCTTGAATGGGACCCCAGATACATGAGAAGGATCAAGTCACAGTTACCTCCAAGTTTTCCTTTGTCCCTGTATTAGGCCAGAAAGTTGAGATCTCTTACACTTGAATGTGAAAGCCCTGATATTAGAATTACTAGCTTCCTCCAATCTAGACTGGGCTACAGAAAAATACTATATAAAAGATGGTTCTTAGGTCCATTTGGGAGCTGAAGTCAATATAAAATAAGGTATCACACCATGAATATGTGCTATCAGTCTTGGAGCTCTATAAGCTTTCCACTTCATCCTGGGGAACACTGAGGGTGATGCCTTTGGTAGTTATTCTCCTCTATCCATGTTGTGTCACTGCATTCAGAAATTACAGACACAAAATCCTTTCTTTTTTACAAATGGTACACTCCTTTTTCCACCCCAAAACTGGCCAGAGCTTCCGATCTTCCAGGCATGCTGCACAACCATCTGTCCAAAAAAACGTAGGGGGTTGGTACAGCAGAGAGAAAGAATTAATTAGATGCCTCTTTCTCAACCTCTGCTAGATATGTATCATGGTATCATGGTAGTGATGTAGCAACACATGGGTATCATGGTAGTGATGTAGCAACACATGGGTATCAGTCCCAAAAGGAGGACACACATTCTGAGTACCTCAGACTTCCCTTCGGGAGAAAAATGCCTTTAAGATGACATAGGCACCGAAACGCTCTTTCACCTCCACCTCTGATTCAATATATAAACATTCTCACCGATGCATTTTCTAGGGAGCAAGGCACATGGCAAACCATGTGGCTCGCTATAATGGAGGAAGCAGCAGTACAGAAGAGCCTTTTTATCCATATCAAAACAAATATGGATAAAAACAAATATGTTTTGTAAATCTTTCTGGCATTTCCAACTTGCATCTTTTGGGAAGATCCCAGAGACTACTGCATGGATGCAGCCTGCCATCCAGCACCCTACATTTAGAGCTCTAGCACTCAGTGCTGCCTGCTGGAAAGAACAATTAGTTTATCAAGAACTTATTCCTGCAGCAAATCCTTAATCAAGGCGCAAGAGGGAATTGGTGGCAGCACGGATGCAACATCGCAATACTGCAAAGTTGGTGACAGCCTTCTAAATTTTTGCCACAGGAAAAGTTGTCACCATCTTCTCCGTAAGCCTTATCTTAACTAGTAGCAGCATTAGTAGCTCACCTTGCTCCACACACAGCACAGCAGCCAGCAAGGTGACAAGAGCAGTCTTCATCTCCACTGGATCCTCTCAGCCGAACTGGGAAGATGTTTGGAGGGCAGGTTATATACCTTTTGAACGGTGGCAGCAGTTTTACTGGTTCCAGGTGGCTCGCGGGTGGACATGAAATCAACCCAAGGGTGTGTAATGTGCATGTGGGAGTTTTCCAACCTGGAGCCCATGGAAGAGGCTGGCACCTTGGGGAAAAACCCTTTTAGCAACACATTTCTCACTCTTCCGGTTGTGTAAGTGATGGGAAATCAGGATCTCTCCTCTTCTCCTCTGAGATTCTGCCTTTCCTTCCTCCCAGCAGAAGCAGCAGCTGTACTGATGAAATAGCGGAGCCCGGAGGCACGAGGAGATAGTCCTGTCAGTGCATTTTTCTAATCCCTTTGGATAGTCAGTGTGTGATCTACCAGGGTTCATACCGCTCATTTTCTTTAATTATTGCACAGTACCAGAAGCTCAGACTCAACTGGCCTACACTAGTTTACCTCCAATAAAATCAGTGTACTTTGCACTAAATTAAATTAGCTAATGGTTAGTTAAACAGAAGATTTTCCTCAGATTTTCATGTCAGTCTTAATCTCTTTATCAATTTTCCATTATCTGTATTTAATCCCTCTGATTTCTCCTCTCTTGGTTGTAATTCTCAAATACATTATACTTCATTTAATAATTTTTTGCTTCTATTTCAGAGGTCCTGTAGAGGGTCTGATTTTCTCCACACCCAACAGTTTCTGAAAATCAGACCTCCATTTATGATACCACAAATTGGCATCCTGGAATTGCTGCTATACTTTGAAAAAAGCCATCTCTCAAACTGTCTCTTTTTCAGTCTCTCCTCTTAAATCAATCCCTTTTCTTCTATTTCTCTGCATTGCTCTCTTCTGAATTTCTTAAAATCTGTTTTTGACATTCTGGGAAATAGACCCTAATATAAGACACATATTGGAAGAGATTGAGCTGCCACCCTCGGTGGATCTTCTTCCAAAGTGGGCTTAGTCCCGGGCAGAATTTAGTGGAATGTGCAAAAGAAAAAATTGCCAAACACCCCCTTTTTCTGGAAATTATGGGATGACTTAACAGGCAGTTCCCTAGAAGTAGCCACCAGCAGCATGTTTTTGTCTGTTTCTAATATGGGTCTTTCCAAGACTGGATGATTTCCTTCTCCATGTGAGTTTCTGATACTTTTTTCAAGCTCTCCTAAACTGCTTCTAGAATGACACCATCAGGTGGTGAATTCCAGAGTTGATCAAGCCTAATGTCAAAACAGACATCCCCGGTCTTGTTTCTGGAGGTGTGTGAGGTCAGCAGAGGATATGATGATTAAATCAAACCTTTTGCTTTGCACAGGGCAATTCAGATTGCTGCCCAAATGCGTTATAAACACTTGTTCGTCATAATTAGTGGGTATGTCTTCTTGCTGGTATTTTGCAATGAGGAGAAAAGGAAGCAGCCATTTTTTTCCTTTTTTCCTGTCCTATTAATTGTCTCATAGACTTCTATTACATATGTTCCTTTGCCCTTCCTCCACGAACAAAAGAGTGCTCTAATTACTGCTGTATTACCCATCATGTTGACTTTGCCAACATCCATTTGTTCCTACATGAACCTGCATGCAATAGGCTGTTGGCGCAGTGCAAGTCAGCTTTGAAAGAGAGTGGTGAGGCTAAGACATCTCCAGCACTCCCAACAAACATGTACTAAGGAGAGAAATTTGAGCAGGAGGTAAGCTCTTCTATGTCAAACAGTTATCTGTGAGCTGTCTCCAGAACATCAACATCTTCATTAGTGCCATAGGTGTCCTGCAGTTCTGGAGAATGCCCTCCTCTCAGCTTCTGGAGAGCAGCAATTTTGCAGTGCACTGACTAGATCGCAGTGATTCCTTCATTCTCAAGAGGACAGATTATGAAATGCAATGCAGTCAGAGGCAAGGCTTCAGCAGCCAATGTGGAGAGGGTGTCTCCTGCTGCCTGGCATCGCAGCCTTCAGCCTGGAGGAGGGCCTGAAGGAGGTCAGGCAGTGACACCAAGCGAGAACTAAGATTGAGGAAGACTGCAAAAAATCCAAGGGAGCTGAGTCACCTCTGTAGAGTAATCTCATCGCTACCCATCCAGGAAAACTAAAATGGTCCTCAAAATGACAAGACAGCAACAGTTAATTTTGGAAAAGGGATGCTTTTGTCATTTTCCATGGCTCCCAGAAGCTTCTTAGACCTAGTGAAGACTTTGCTTTGATCCTTATCACCTTTCTTTGTCATTGATTCATTGGGTTTTAATCAGACCTAGACAAATAAGCAGAGAGAAAGGGAAGAAATTTCATGTTGCGAGGGAAAAGAAAGCAAAATTATTTGAGGAGAGCAGCATAGATCCTTCAGAGTGGTGATAGAGCCCTAAGTGAGGTAGAAAAAAGGCCAAAGTTAAACCATCTCCTCCAGGTGCCTCATTTAGGCAGGACAAGGCCCCTTTGGCTGATTCAGGTCCTGGTACAGTGACTCAGAGCACAGAAAGCTGAGCTCTTAGATAATCCACACAGGAGCAATCCCAACTGTTTGAGTAAGATGCCCATCTTCTTCATGACAGCCCTCGAGGCATCCCTGATGTCTCTGCAGGGCAGCTCTCCACACTCATCTAAGGAGTATACAACCATGGGAGCCAAGAAATAAGAAACCCTGGGCGGAGGGATGTGGAATTAGGCAGCAGCAACTGCATGGGAGTTGTCACACCAGGATTTCTCAGGAAGGCTGGCAGAGTCTCCTCTTACACAACACCCATCTCCAAGGGAGGGATCACTAAGGGAGCTTTCATGGTTTTAGGACCTCCCATGCCTGAGGGCTATTGCTGGTCCCACCTCCAGATAAGGACCCTTTTATGTAACTTGAGATGTGGGCCAATCTTTGGCCCTAATACTTGGGCAGGATGGAATGCAAAACCTATGGGGTCAGGTAGAAACCAGTCGAGAGGGAAGTAGGTTAGGGGCAGGACTCCTGGCTTCCCAGTGCTGTTCAGAACTTCACCATGGAACAGCCATAAGCAGATCACAAAACCCTCCAAGGCAGAAGCAGGCTCTACCATGTGCCTTCACCCCCTTTGCTCACACATCTTCATACCTTCCTTCAGGTGCCAGGTTCCCTCCCAACCCAAAACAGAGGCACCTGCCAAGTTCAGGTAGGACAAGACCTTATTTTAAACCTATATGCCAAGAGGAGGTTCTGTATTCACAAGCTCAGCAGGTCAAGACCTGGGGCAATACCAGCCCTGGCTTGGCCTTGGCCTGTGCATACCAACATTGTCCCTAAGAAGTTCTAAACCTGTGGACAGAAGAGGCTGGGACTACTTAAAATAGTTTGGTTGTTACCACCTGATCATCTGGGTGTGGGGCACAGTACAACCATCCAAGGCCACAGAACAGTTCTTGGCTTGTTCAAGATGTTCTGATGTGTGTGACACTTGAATATCTCTAAATCTGTCAGGAGGGGAAGAAAGGTGAGGAGAGTAGATTGGACAAAAGACTGGAGCCAGCTCAGATGGGAGCTGACAACACAACAGAAACCATAGGGGCAACCTAGAGTCTCATGGCTAAAGATGGAGTATCGTGGCCAACCTTGCATTTGTACCAAGGAATAAAAAAGAGATGAGGATCTAGCAAGAAAATCGAGGTTGGAGATAAAGCCCAAGCTGAGACTGGATGAAGAAACCAAGGAGGAAGGCTGGGAGAGAAAACTAGGGGGCGGATGTGGATGGGAGGAAGAGAAGTCAAGAAGGGATGGGAGCAGGTTGGGGTGAGCAGGAGCCAGGAGACCACATTTCCTTTGCAAACCTGTTAGAAAGATCTGGCTGTTTCTGAGTGGTGTTGTTCCTCTGCTCCAGGCAAATACCCAGCAACGTGAGCAGAGTGTGTAGCTGCTCTTTCCCTGTGCAATGAGTCTACAGAGAGAAAACCGGCTGGGTGAGCTGCACCCAACTAATTACCCCAGGAGATCTGGTTGGGGTAATCCTAGTGGAGAGCTTCTTCAGCTCAGGAGAAAGCATTTGAGCTTCCCGTGAGTGAGTCACTTTGGAAGGGTTTGAGTGAGCAAATCTCTCATTCCTGTCTAAGATTATCCACAAGGAAGGTCAGCGCAGGGGAATGAGTTCCTTCAATTTTAACTCCGACAGGAAACGACTAGCAAACATAAAAGATTTATTTTCAAAGTTAATATTTTGTTATAGATAAAGATGAAATTTCCAGGTTCCAGCAGACTCACAGTAGAAACGGTCTGTCTTTTCTGATGATTTTCCTTTAAGCACCATGCAAAGATACTTTTCTCCCCTCTCAAAATAATCCGTAATGCTTATAAAGCAATTTCCACAGGAAGATCTTAAATCATTTTAAAGAAAACTTAATGCTCAAGATTCCTTCGTGTTGAGTCCCACCTTGTCCCCTCTGTTTGCCTGCTGGAGAGCTCAACAGCCATTTCCTTTCAGGCAGCTGACCCAGAAGAGAACTTGAAAGCGAGTTAAATAGAATACGGTTTACTCTGAAATGAAGTCACAAAATGACACTTCTGCAAGCGCAGAAAAAAAAAAAAAAAAAAAAAAAAGGAGAGGCTTCCTGAAGCGACTGCAAAGCAATTGCAATATATTTCAACATTATTTCAATTCGACTTGCAGGCTAACGCCTCCGCTTTTCTCGCTGCTAACATGGATGCATCCAGCCGCTACGCCCAATGTACCACACCACACAGTCACAACAATAGAATAAAATGACACTTTATTGTGCCCAGCTTCTGTTTAACAACTGTAATATTAAAGGCTTCCTCAGAGCCAAACGATACAAGGCAGAAAATGGTACAAAGGGAAAAATGGCACAAGAGAATGGCAGGGACAAAATAAAAGGGAAAAAAAAAATGCATGAAGTTATAAAGGCCAATAGTAGGGGAAATGGTGGCTACATGGTGCCCTTCTGCATGTGCAGGGCTCCACGTCACACCTTTCTCTTTTGAACACCATTTTGAGGTAGGGTTGTGCTCTTCTGCATTGACATCAGAGCACGGAAAGAGCAAAAATATTTGCTAATGGGATGTGACCTTCCAGGTAGGAGAAAACTCTCCTATGAAAATGGGCTATGAAAATGTTCAACCTGTAGAAGAGAATGCTCTCGGGAGACCTTATAGCCCTTTCCAGTATCTGAAGGGGACCTATAAGAAAGCTGGATAGGTTTTTTTACAAGGCCATGTAGTGATAGGATGAGGGGCAATGGCTTCAAACTGAAAGAAGGGAGATTTACATTAGATATCAGGAAGAAATTTTCCATTATGAGGGTAGGGAGACACTGGAACAGGTTTCCCAGAGAAGCTGCCCCATCCCTGGAGGTGTTCAAGGCCAGGCTGGATGGGGCTTTGAGCAACCTGGTCTAGTGGGAGGTGTCCCTTCCCATGGCAGTGGGGCTAGAACCAGATGATTTTTAGGGTCCCTTCCAACCCAAACCATTTTATGAATCTATGATTGTGTGAAACAGGGATGTTTGAGAGATTGATCCCTTGCAATGCAAGGCCAAGCAGCTCCTTTACCCCCAAAACCCTTTAAAAACCCAGACGGAGGATGCAGGCGAGACTGGCCAGGACGCCCAGAGCTATCATAGTGTAGCTGGTTTTCACACTGCTGGCACCACTGATGTTGCACAAGGAAGTCTCACAGCAGCTGGTGGCAACACCGGCTATGCCGATATTCAGGTCAATTGTTGGGCAAAATGCAGAACATTTCTTGGTAATGCGCTGGTTACGGTCATTGCCTGAAATGGGAGAGAGGGAAAACAGGGAGAAAAGTCAAGTTTTTTTTATCCTGTGTATTTTTTACAAACTTCAGTGTAGCCTGGCTGTGCAATGTCCAGCGGGGAATAGTTTGGTTTGTGCTTAATGCTGTTGGTTGTCCCCTGGGCTTTGGCACAATGCGTCATTATTTGTGTATATGTGTCCTACGGAGACCATCTCCATGATGGAGACCATCTCCATGATGGAGACCGACTCCACACCTTAAAGCTCCTCTGCTGTTTGCAGGGCCAGCTGCGCGCAACTCAGTGCAGGAATTTGGGGTGCAATTCTCCAGGAATTTGGAGATCCAGCACATTTGCACAATACAGGATTGCAAGACGTCATTGTCACCGTGTCTTGATGCTGCCCCTTCCAGAGTACTGCCCCTTTCCAATGCCACTACCTCAATGAGCCCATGTATGAGCTTGGAGATGAGACAAGGGGTTTGTACAGAGAAAACCTGTCTCTGCCAATGTCTCCCTCTCCTGGGTGGTATTTTTACAATATTTTTTACAATATATTGCAACAGGGATGGGCTACGCTGAGTCCCTACGTGCTGCAAGATTTACTGTCTGTGTGCTGTGATCTTCATTAATTCTTCTGCCACACCCCATGGTGGGAGTAGACTCTGCAGTCAGCCCAACCTGAACCCCCTCTTGTCATCAGAGCCTTAGAAAAGCTTCACACTTACCAAGTCCTGTGGTAGAATAGGTTGTGAGACAGTACTTCTCATTGTCAGAGCATTTGGTTGTACCGAGACAGTGTATGTTGGAAGGTGCATCTTTGCATGAGAAACATGTCAAGGAGAAAGCTGCAAAAGAAGCACACAACACCCATCGATCACCTCTAGAAATATCCGTAGGACCACAATACTGGTGGTGCTGGTGCAGATGAAGGATCTGCCAAGCCCAGTGGCCACAGGCAGACATCCTCCTCGGTTTGTGAAATTTGGCCCCAGCAACTTTCCAGGACCCAAATTACTTTGAGTTCAGATTCTGGACACGGATGTGCTTTGCTCATTGAGTAACCCTCCAAAGATCTTCCTTCTGGATGCTTCCTGGAATCCATTTAAACATCTGGCATCTAAAGTGTGCTTTTGGAAAGAGCTCCCCAGTCTACTACCACTTGCAGCATGAAGCTCATGTGGTTTCTTTCCAACCTGGCTCCTCTAAGCCCTGATTGCTGGCCACTAGTTCTTGTATGGGAAGGGACCAGCTGATTCCTGTCCACACTCATCCTCTTTAAATCATCTGAAGAGTCCTGGCCTACACATCCTTTCTCAGACCACACACTCCAACGGTGAATTATTTTAAAAATCTTTTCAAATATAAAAAGGGACAGACACAGCCGAGACTAACCTTCCTGGCCATACTGAGCATGACTGTTCTTTTGCTGCATGCCCTCACAACATATCTCAAATTAGGGACAAGTGACCTAGATCTGCACCTCAGTGTTTGCTGGGAAGACGGATGCTTGCCTTTGGCTGCTTCGTTTTCAGAGCCCTCCTGTTCTGGCCAATCTTGGACCCGTAGAAGGCAGCAGGTTCCTTTTTACAGCCAGTGATGACTGCCTAACGCTACAAAATGTGCACATCTGTAACACTCTGCATCAGCAAAGCGCTGTGCTAATGTGAATGAATGAAAACAGCTTGCACTCAAGTAGGTTAAAGCAGTCATTCATAGCAAAGAGATCCTCGGGGAAGGTTTCTTTGCATGATAAGGGGAATTTCCTACTCATCTGTTTATCTGGAGCAAACGCTCCTGCAGTAATGTCACCCACTGGGGATTAGGCTCATTCTTCTCTCTTCCAGGCTATCCCTATCTATGGCCAGCTAATACCCATCTTATTTTTGTACCAGCCCTGTCCTTTGCCTTCCTTGCTCTTTGGCTCCCTCGCTGTCCTGCTCCCTTGCCCAAGTTTCTTTACCCTTGTTGGTGCCTCTGCCAGCAATGTCCCAACCTCATTGCTGCCCTTGTGTGACCTTAGACAAGTTCATCTGGTCCAAGCAGGCTCTCTGCTCCCTATCATCCTACTAACCCAGACCTGGCCCCAGCTCAGACCATGACCCCAAGGTGACCAGGGTCATTGTATTTCATAGGAACCTACAAAAATGTCTATTAGGGTATTGTTCATTCTTCTTTGTCTCTGTGGAAACTGTCTTCTCTCCCCAGTCCAGCCCCTTTGCCCTTTTGCCCTTTCCATGGCCCTCCAACATAATATTTTCCTTCTCTCCCCACTCCAGTCCCTTTGCTCCTTTGCCCTTTCCATGACCACCCAGCACCGACCATCAATTTCCCTCCCGTAGTCTGCAGTCTTCACAGATCCTACTCCCCCTCTGTTGTCTCTCACTGAAGAACCACTAGCAGAAGACACAAAGGCCAGGCAACTGGGCTTGCAGTGACTCAGAACCCATCTCCCTCTGTTCCCAGGCTCAAAACAATTGGAAAAGCCTCAGACCTGGCACCCAGCTCACTCTGACTTGATTCCAAGACTGTTGCAATTTGCCTCCAGCCTTGGTCATTGTCATTTCCATCTCCAGGCACAAGGGCACGTTCCTGCTTCACCCCACCAGGAACCACCCTTTCCTCCCAAAATAACCATACGCCAGAGCAGAGTCCCCAAACTGGGTTTTCAAGCCATGTAACCCATTTTATTCTTTAATTGACACAACTGGGTTTTCCAGAAATGTAACTTGTTTTATTCCTTAATTAATGCAGCTCCTTTAATCCAGCCCACTCCAAGAAAAACTTCCTGAATCTACGCAAGAAGCGGTGGAGCTTGTTGCAGTCCTGTGTCAACCCAACCTCACAAAGCTGCTAATTTAAGAGCAAAGTTGTCCTGAGAACCTTCTGGTCAGGGGAGGGGGAGGCACCTTCAGGGGGTGATTTTTGCAAACGTTTCTCTGTATTCAGGAGGTTTCTCTCTCACTCACCATTAGACAACTCTGGAGAAATGTGGGCTCCCAACTTGGGAGCTCAGTTAAGTCCCTGAAGTCAGGTAGGACAATTCTGATCCTCTCTCCTGCTAAGTACAACAATTGCTCATACTATTGAAAAACACTTCTGATCTTATTGTGCCAGGGATACAAGGAAGGGAACAATATTTCTTAATTAAAAGTTAAACCAGGCTGCTTTTGGAGGTCTCCTGTCCGCCCCCAGCAAGATCTCTGCTCCAACTGAAAAAGAATATTCCTCGAGGAAGAGTGTCCTGTGAATAATTCAAGCCACCCAGATAAACGACTTCCACGTGTAAAGCATTTGCAAGTGCAAGTGCGGGCAGACGCAGGATTTATCCTATCAAAATCAGTCAGGGTCAGGATTAATTGGAACAACAACCAGCCTTCTGGGTGGATCGCGCAGCGAAGGGGTGCTGCGTATGTGCTAATTTTCACTGACTTCTTTGGTAAGTTTGCTGTCTCATTATGTGATCTTTTTTTTTAAAAAAAATGTGATTACAGCTGATAAGCTGCAAGAAAGAATCCTTTTATTGCCTTCAACTTTCTCAAGCCCGTTGAGCACAATGATTTAGCACATGCCAAATTTAAAGTCAGTGAAGTCTCAAGTAAGAACATTTACAGCCTCAAATTAAGTGTGAGCCTAAGTGCTCTGCTGGACCGGGACCAGAATAGCCAGTAATTTGCAAGTAAAGCCCTACAGCAGAGCCTGAGAAAAATTCAATTTGCAATAAGGGAAAAGCCACCCCCACACAAGCTGAGGAAATCAATTATTCCCCTGGAATAATCAGGGGGATATTCATGGCTGCACCCTCTGCTCCTTCCCTGACCCACAGCTCACCCACGTGCAAACAGGGCATCTTCCAGAGGCACAGGCAGTGGTCCTTGGCAAAGCCCAGCCAGACGGAGTTAAAGTGCAGGTTCCCAGGCCATCTTTCCCCCCAGAAAAATCAAAAAAAGCCAGCTAACAGAAAGAGAATGGGACTCTGCGTCTCCATCCCAGACCTGGCACCAACGTCGGCAAAGTTGCACCTCAAAGCAACAAGCTGCAAGAAAGAGATGGGAACCAAAACTGCATCTCCTTGTGGCATGCCCATCTCTAGCAATTTAGGTAATGATGGTTTGTAATTGCAACCAACAAACAAGAAAGTGAAAAATAAAAAACCAACCCGGCGGTAGATAGTTATATGCCAAATGTGCAGCTTTATTGCAAATATTGCCCTCTCCCTGTCCATCTCTGTATATCCCTCAACTAGCCCTTCTTCTCACAGAGCTGCAGCAAGGGCTTTCAGCTGCCTACACGGAGCCACTCCAAGGGCTGGGACTGCACAAGTCAGGATAGGTGGGTATATCATCCCCCACTTCAGTTCCTCAACGTCCTTCCATCTCCTGGTGGGGATATGTCCCCTGGCTTCATCTCCCAAGGAGTGGAATATTCTCCAGAGCCCAACGACCCTTCAGATTTACCATTCATGCTGCAAAATCCCCTTGGCATCCTGCAATATCAAAGACATGCCCTAACTCTGGGGGGGGGTCTTGCTAATGCAAAGCAATCCTTTGGAGACTCACCACTCTCTGTGCACAGGGCTATGACAAGCACGACGAGAAGAGGAGTCTTCATCCTTTATAGGTTCTCGCAGCCTCCAAAACAAGCAGGACTCACCCAGGGCAGGTTTTATACCTCTGCAGTGTTTGCTTGATGATAGGATAATAACTATGGGGATGCTGTGTCAGATGATGGATAATTGGGAGTAACGTGTCAGTGCTTGCGTGTGAAAGTATGCTTTGTTGGAAATCTAAACAGGCTTATATTCTCCCACCCTCCACTGCTTCTTTTCCTAGTTGTTTCACAATGCAGCTTGTTCATCTGGAGTATGCAACAGTTTCTAATTCTGGATAAGTGGAGGAAAAGCAAAACACAAAGCCACAACAGTGCTCACGTGAGAAGAGGGATGTTTTCCTTTGCAGGCCAGCTTGGGTCTCGGAGCAGGCTGCATCCTTGAGGATCCCGTCCTCCTCACGCGCTGTTTTAGTGAAAATATGGAAATTCATTGAATTTGAAATTGAAATTGGGTTTGAAACGCCTTCAGAATGTCTCCCAGGATTGTCAATACAGCTAGATCAGAAGAGCAGTAACCTTCCGCTGCATTTCATGGGGGACCAGGCATCATATTCTGTGGGCTTTTTTAAAAATTGCAGTTCAAAATCATAAATGTTTCTCTTCTAAAATTGGATATTTTATATGAGGGAAAATGTTCTCTTATTAGAAAATAAATTCCACTGGGCAATGAAAGTGACCACTTAAATTAAAAAATAGAAATAACACCCACCCCCAGCACATTGAACAATCTGCAATTTTTTTTTTTAACAATTTACAAAAAATAAATGTCAGGGAGAAAAAAACACCAAACCAGTTAAAGCACAGAGAATGAGGGATTGCCTGCACAAGGATCTCAACTCATTAAGTCTCCAGAAAAAAAATAAAACAGCCAGCCAAAATTATGTGAAATGCCAAATACAAGTACTCCACTGGGTTTCCATACGGTGCTCTTTATTCCTCCTTTTTTTTTTATCGTGTTTCATCCTATCTCCCTGTGTAAAATCAGATTCTTTCCTGCCTTCTTATTATTGGTGTTGCTTTTTCCTCCCACCGCTGTCTTTCTGCCATCTACTCCTGGGGATGGAGGCACGGTCCCAGAAATGGTCCAGCTGGATCCTTTTCACATGACACTCAGAGCTGCAGGAGCAACCTGCCTGCCCCAAGCCTCTGCCAGTGACTCTGCTGGTCTCCATCTGTTTAATTTCCCTTTATTCTTATTCTCAAACTTGCTCAGATTTCCACTTCCCATTAAATCTTTGGGCTTCCAGTGTGACCCACCTACAGTCATTATCTCACCGAAAAGGCATCCCCAGTTCTGGAGGTGAGGTAACTCTTTCCAACACCTTTAAACTGGATGTATAAATATTGTTAGTATGGAGACCTGCGTGACTAAGGTGAGGAAATTTCGGCTTTCTCAATAGGTAGAGCACGAAACTCAGTTGGAACAGAGGTGGCAATTAACCAAGAAAGCTCAAAGGAGGGGCGTTGGTTGGCTTCATAAGGCCAAAGCCTTTGTAAGGCATCAGGCAGGAGGAAAACAGGAGCTGGCACCCTCCATGCCAGGCACTGCAACCCTCTCTTCCTTGTGCAATATTTTCTTTTCCCCAATCCAGAAGGGATTTCATGAGCTTTTATTGGTAAATCAACTTTTATAGCTGACTATTTGAGGTAATGGCAGAAAAGGGGGCTCGAGGCACAAGGCGATGCCATTCCGCAGCCTGTGCTGCAGAGGCAGCCCACATTCAGATTTATTTCAGCCAACAGCATCCATTAACAGGTACAGAAATAGCATCTCAGCCAGGCACTTTTTTTTTTCTTCTCCCCCCTCCCTTGTAGTCTCATCCAAGCAAAACCTAAAATATCTCTTGCCTCCTGCAAGCTGCTGAGATTTTGAGATGGCAAGGCTGTATTTCTTAAAGGAGTTACTGCAGGGTTTCTGACAGTCAAGATTTTCCATGAGATGGTCCTGCACTCTTCCAACTGGTCCCTGATATTAATGTTACCTTCATCCCTCACCAGTGCCAGGTGAGAGAGCTTGAGAAGAACCCATGGCAGGGTAGAAAGAACACATTATTAGGACACCAGAGGGGCCAAGGCAAAGAAGAAGACACTATCACAGTTTACATGTATTTGGAAGCTTTGAAGCTCAAGAAGATTTTGGAAAGAGTAACAGGGGATTCAATTTGGGGTGGAGGATGGGGTGGAAAGACTTATTTTCCTTGACACAGTCGCTGAGTGGAGACAGAAAGAGAGCATTTTGCTCATCTTATTCTAAACCTGGTTGAAACTGTCACATGAGAAAGGCAAACAATGTCTTATTTTAGTAAAAACATGTAGTTTTCATGCAACAAAAGCTGAAATTGAAAAGTAACTGCGAAATTCAGATGTTTTTACTAAGTGTGGGTTTTTAAGTTGGCCAAAAGCGCTGAGAATCATTTCAGAAAGTATTGTCATTAACATATAGGAAAAGCGATGGGAAAAGTGGTTAAAAAGAAGTGCAAAACCCCAAATTTATCTTGGTCCCTCAGCACAGAAATGCTACAACACTTAACCATTCTTCAGTTAGCCCGTCTCGTATTTCAATAAATACCAGGACACCCTCCTTGCCCAGAAATGAAATCTTTATAGGATGACAAAACCTAATCCCATCTTCTCAGCCTACGGCCAGTGCCGTGGTTTCTCCCCGTTACACAGAAACCGGTGCACTTTGCAGCCTCTCTTCAGCGCTGGAGGAGCAGTGTCCTCCTCAGATCCAGCTGGTCTGCAAACACAAGGGCTTTTTTTCAGGTGCCACTTCTATACAAGCCCTCCTTAAAAGCAGGACTGCACTTATAAACTGCTCAGCTGGGAATTATGCACCTTCCAGCTCCAAGAGTGCATGTATTTTGGCCATCTTAGCTCTAGCTCCCCTTCTCCAAGAGCTGCAGGGGATCTCCACCCCATTTCCTCGATCCCCAAGCCTGGAAATACAGCTGCAACAGAGGAAAGGGAAGGACCCGAGACCTCCCCACCCAATCAGATACCCATTGCCTCTGCCAGGCTCTTTCTGCCTGTTTCCCTGTGAGGAAGTTGTGGGCCATCACTCAGCAACATCTTCTCCAAGAAGGCACGGAGGTCACCTTTTCATGAGATTCCAGCAGCATTGTCCTCATCTTGGGCGCCTCCGGCATCTTGGTGTGGTCCTTTTATCTATTTTAAAAGCTGAAACCACCCACGCTGTGGAGATCACGCAACAACTTTGCAGCACAACCAGGAGCACAACCAATACCTGGCAGCCCCCCAGTCCCGCGCGTTGGCAGTTACAAAACAATTCTCACTCTTGCTTATGGTGGGAACAACACAAACATCTTTGACCTTTCCAGGTTGACACCTTCATTCGTTAGCGCTGAGTGATCAGGCAGAGCATCTGGCTTTGTCTGTCTTGAGTTGCTGGATGCAACTGAGTCAACAGAGAAAGACAGCCAGGAGAAGACTCCCAGGTGCTAAAAAGAGGAATTCAATGTGAAGTAAGAGATTCAGACCACTACCCTTTCTGGCAGAGTGGTTTTCTCAAGCTGGATCTCAGTGTGGATATAGCAAACACACTCTAGAATAACATAAATCTTTATTTTGCCTGACAATTGTCATACATATGCTATCAAAAGAGCTTTCCCAGGGAAAATTAGTACAAAACAACAAATGATACAGGGGAAAAAAAAGAGGAGCTACGCTGCCACACCATTTTGTGGATGGGACCTGAAATAATGTCTTGGAAAAAAACAGGGTAGCATAGACTCTGTTGGGGACATTTGACAGAGGATATTCATTTCCTAGCTGGGGGAATACCTTGTAGGTTCTTGGGTTGTCATATCTTCGCCCACCCCTCATCACAATCCGGCCCTGATGACACAGATCATACTGGCCACAATTCCCAGGAGCATCACACCATAGCTGATTTTTATGCTGTTGGCCCCACTGAAATTGCACAGGGAGGTTTTGCAGCATTTGGTGGAATAAGCCGCCACGCCGAAGTTCACGTTTGTCTCAGGACAGTCTGCAGAACATTTCTTGGTGATGCGATATCCCATGTCCTTGCCTAGATAGAGAATAGACAAGAAAGGACAGCTGTGATTTAAAACTGCAAGAGCTGACCAGAGGACGATGGGAGGAGGTATATTGCAGTATGCTTAATTTGCAATGCAGCAATAACAGCTATCAGCAGATTTGATGAATGCTGCGTGAGTATTCACATAACCTGGATCAAATGCATGACACTAGAAAGTCCTTGGTAGAAATCCACACCACGCTTCCTGTAGGACAGCAAAAAATCACAGAATCACAGAATCATAGAATAGTCTAGGTTGGAAGGGACTTTTCAGATCATCGAGTCCAACTATCAACCTAACTCTGACAAAAAACACCACTAAACCATGTCCCTCAGCTCCACGTCTACCCATCTTTTCAATACCTCCAGGGATGGTGACTCCACTACTTCCCTGGGCAGCCTCTTCCAATTTTTACCCTTTCAGTATAAAAATTCCACGTCTACCCGTCTTTTCAATACCTCCAGGGATGGTGACTCCACTACTTCCCTGGGCAGCCTCTGCCAATTTTTACCCTTTCAGTATAAAAATATTTCCTAATATCCAATCTAATTCTCCCCTGGCACAACTCGAGGCTGTTTTCTCTTGTCCTATTGCCTGTTACTTGGGAGAAGAGACTGACCCCCACTTCATGACAACTTCCTTTCAGATAGTTGTAGAGAGTATGAGATCTCCCCTCAGCCTCCTTTTCACCAGGCTGCCAATCACTGTATTTTCAGCTTCTAAAACTGCGTTACTTACATCCAACCCCTCTCCATCCCCTTCAAAAAGCCTGTGTGTGACCTCTCAGATCAAGCAACAGGGTCTGCTCGTGAAAATCTGTGTGCTTCAACCAGCCCTGCCACAAGATGGTGAGGAACATACCACAGGTGGTAGATCACAGAGCATCCCTGAGGGATTCACTCAGGTTATGTGTTGTGGTCTGTAAACCTCTGTGATCGATTCTTTCCAACAAGACCAACTACTCCCCTAAAAAAAAAAACTATTCCCCATCAATTTCTCTGGAAGAAAAATATATAAAAATAAAGCCTTGAAGTGTTGCTGGTACTCACCTAATCCAGCACTGCTGTACGTGGTTGTACAGTATTTCTCATGGTCTTCACACTTGTAGGTTTTAAGACAGTTCCAGTTGGAGTGCTCATTGTCGCACGTGTAGCAAAACAGTGAGGAAGCTGGAAAAAATGCACATGCCACAAATTAGCAGTTTCCAGCAATACCCTCCTGGGAAGAAAGTGTCAAAAGCCATATCCCTTCTTGGAAAATACAAGGTGAAAAGTATGTTACAAACAAGTTTTCATGACAAGTGAAGTAAGAAAGTTGGTTTTGATTAATGAAGATGAAAAAGCAAACAGAACAGAACCAGTTTTCTTTCTTTACTTGAGACTTTCGGTGATTAAACCTGAAAACAAATGGTTTTTTTCTCAGCCTGAGCAGTGTTCTCAGGTGAACTTTCTTTCTCCCCCTGGGTCCGTGTTGGCCTGGTTGACAGCCAACCTGCAAAAGCCAGGCTCATGACCTGCCCAGCTGGGTCTTGTATGGCTCTGGCAAGGAGAAGATGAACTGGCACTGCTCTCAGGTGAGTTGTTAGTATTTTCAGACTGCAGCTGCAAAACACTGTACAGGCATGAATTAATTAAGGCCTATGACACCCCTGTGAGCTAAATTACTGAGCACGGAGCCACTTTGAGGGAGTTCCCTGGGAGAGGTTGCTCTGGACAATAGAGAGATTATTTCTACCAACGCCTGGAACAACATGTTCTCAGTGATATTATTAGTATGGCTGAGCCAGGTCCATTACAAAGCCAGAATTAGGTAGGATACGGATTTCTGAACAAAACTGAAGCAAACTGAGTCAAATTTCCAGGCCGGCGGTGCTAGAAGCACAGGCACATGCCATCTTGTTCCCTGGAGGTGGATTCACAACTGGTGGAAACTGTTTCCCTCCTGTTCAGGGTCCCATGAAATGCTCCTCATTTCTGAGGAGCGGTGACAGAGGCGGTTCAGCCACCCTCAGGACAAACTGCTCCATTGTCACCAGTGGTGGAGAACTCTTGGTTGAAGGCAACCAAATTGCAACCCAGGGAGAGTCCTCCATTAGGCTGAAATTTCCCTGGTTCAGTTCCTCCTAACTTTCTCAACCCAGGAAGAAGAGCCCCTTTCAATTGAATTTGAACCTGTGTTTGACAAAGAAACTCCTCCCAGGGACTCTCCAAAACCCAGCTGCTGTTGGTTCAAATTCATCTCTGAAGTTGATGACCCTTGGTTAGACAATGTCTACCCATGACCCTTGGTTAGACAATTCCAGAAGCAGTTTTAAAAGAGAATGAAAAGCCATTTCAGGCCATAACTACCCCAAGTAGGAGAAGAAAAGTCCTCCCAACTGTGATGTGGGGAGCTCAGGTGCCTTGGGTACAGCTCAAGTCAGCGTATGACCGATTGTCTTGCTCTGAAACCCGCCCAGATGCTCTTTTCTAGTGCCAGGTGTTGCGAGCGCAGGTGTTCTCCATAACAGCAGATAAAATCACCCTTGTTGCATGCTGGTTTTAACTTCTCTGTGACTGACTATTCTGCACTCCTTGTTTCTCCATCACTTGGATAATTCAAGCCTCTCACCTCTCCCCTGGCGGTCCCACCGACCTGAGCTGTGGGCTACTGTCCTTTTGCAGACCTCACCAGAGCAATCCCAGACAGGCTGCCTGCCAAGTATTATCACATTTTCCAGTCCCCGTAGAGCTCTCTGATCTGCTTTTCTGCTAAATCTCACAGAGTTGCTCAAACCACTTCCTGCTGCAGATGGAACCGAGACCCCAGCATGTGCGTGAAAGCAACTGAAATGCACCCGTGTTGACTGACTGGTGCAAGGAAAATCCCTCCCAGTCAGGAAACAATAACTGCTTAAATAATTATGGCTGTTATAAAGCCTTGCCTGCGTCTGACCTCCACCCTCCATTAGCTCCAGTTTTGCAAATGCAGCCAGAAATAGCCTTAACGGTGCAAAAAGTCTCGCAGCGCTCCTCGGGACTGCAAATACACTCACAGAGCCAATGTTTCTCAACTGGGTATTTCTACACAATTATCTAGTTCTATCTGCACCTCCTTTTGAATGAGAACAAGCACAGAGGATTGTGAATCCCATTACAAACACACTCACTCCTAGACAAGACACTTAAGAAAACTCTTCAAACCTATGAGCAAAGAGCTGTTAGGCTTTCAAATAACTGCCAACAACCTACTTTCTTAATTGCAATGTCTTTGTGGGAAATAAAGCGAAACGCTGGCAGAAGATGTGGTGTCAGTCCCGGCCGTATTACCTTTATCGACAACTCCTCGAGTTTCATTCAGGAACCAAAATAAAACCCAAGGCAAAGCTGTGAGCCCAGCTTAATTCTTATTAGCATTTTCCAGTTTGCACACCTAGCTTCAGATGCGAGTGGTCGGAGCTTGATACTCGAGGGTGTGAGAAACCAGAGTGGTGAGCTCATCTTCTGTGGGTTATGGGTGCCTCAGCAGAACTCACCCAGGAGCTAAGACTCAACCACACTAAGTATTGCTTGAACCAGTTGACGGCAAAGAAAAACTGCACTTCCAAGACCTCACCGATTCCAGTAAAAGCTGTCAAACCTTCTTGTCCCTGTGTTATCCCTAATTTCTCTTCGGATGTTTTCATCCTCTCCATCTGGCTCTCCCAGCCTCCAAAGCTCCTTACCTTGCCTCGCACACAGGACTGCCACCAGCAGGGCGATCACAACAGCCTTCATGGTCGCTGTGCCCTCAGAGCTTGAACAATGTGGGACGGTGCACCACGGTAGGGTTTTATACTGGGACTGCGTTTACTTAGACTTCCTTTGATTGCAGTAATTTGAGGTTTGGGGAGTGACAGCACAGAAGATGCGATCAGGGATGGGTGGGTGTGTTTGTGCGTAGGAACCTATTACGAGGCTCCAGCTAGCAATTTTTTTTTTTTTTTTTTTTTTTTTATTACGTCTCATCCAGATCCAATCTTTTTTTCCGAGGCCTACTCCTGCTGACCACGTCTGCATTGCTAATTTGGGGAGCAATTTATCTGATTCAAACACGGGAGTCCCTTCTTACTCCGTTGGGCTGAACCACAACATCTGGAGCAAAACAGAGGCAGCTGCGCCTCTGGGGTGGCTCATGGCTTGCAGGATGGTAGGTGTCACCTGGCATCCTCCATCCTTTCTCTCTGCCATGATACAAGAGCTTCTGTCCTGGTTTGAGCAACACAGGACTAAATTCTCTTCTAATGCTTGGGAAAACTGCAGTTTTAGAAGACTCTAGTATCTGAATTGGTGAAAATATTTACTTTATCACCAGCTCTGGGGTGCAGGTTTCAAGGTCTTGGTGTTTTCATGCTCTCCAGGTGTGGGGACAAGGAGGAGAGAGACCCGGGCACTTGACCCAAGCTGCCAACAGGGTTATTTCATACCATGAGCATCACATTCAATAGAAATTAGAAAGTTTGCTGAAAAGTTCCCTCTCTCCCTTGATGTTTGTGATCTGAGAACTTCTTTCCCTGGTGTTGGAGCCCTGGGCCCTTCCCTTCCTCCCAAAGCTGCAGCACTCTCAGGGTCCCACATTGGCTGTCCCTGTCGGGAGTGTGATGTGTCAGCTTTCTGTGATGGAATGGGCTGAGTATTTTATATTAGTGTATTTTATATTGGTCTCAGGATCAATATTGGCTCTTCAGTATTATTAATGTTAATTATTTAGCTTTATCTTATTAAATCTATTTATATTTCAAAGCTTCGTGTTTCCTTGGTTTTCCCTGATTCCCTTTCACGGCTGGGGAGGGGTCATCGGGTGAGAGAATAGTTGTCTAAACAACAATAAATTGTGGATTTCTCAAACCATAAGATCTTTATGTCTGTGGGAAGTGGGAGAGGAGGCAAAAAAAAGGGAAGATTTTTCACTGGGTTGTCTGCAGTCATTCACAGTCATCTCGCTTGTACTAAGGAAAGTGCTTAAAGCAGAAAACCAGCACGGATCATTCATGCAATGACACTCTTTGTGCCTGGAGACTGTCACTCAGAAGCTCCTGTGGTCCAGGTAGGAATGGGGTCCGATGATTTTGCTTTGCTCTGCTCTTTTCTCCTCCAGAAGCATCCAGGGTTTCCAAGCAACAATGTTTGTTGCTACCTGTGAACCAACTTTGGACTCTGACAGGTTTTTCCAGTCCCTCATGACCTTTCCAATCCTTCTGGGCTCCCTCCTCTCCTCCTGCTCCCACAACCACTTTGTCACCTCTTGCCAAATGACTCGGGATGCAGTAGGGGCACCAAGCATTTGGAAAGTTGATGCAAGAGTTAAACTGTGAATGGGAGTGAAAATGACTGAGAAATAAAACAAGCCCTGGTCGAGAAGACTCCTCAGCAGACCAGGACCCTTCATCTTTAGAGAGAAAATGACCAATAGGAGCTCAGAGTCAAGATTTATAAGGTCACAAGTGGTGTGGAAACAGAATAAAGAACATACAGTTGCTCTTTGTTTTCCCCAAATTACTCCCCAAGGAGTAATCTTGGTCACCTGTCTGCGAGAGCCTGGGCAGATGGCCCCATGCCCAACCCCTGTGACAGGTCTTTTGCTTTCAGTAATTCTTCTTTTGCCCAGTTCCTCCTTTTCTACAGCAGCTTCACCCCCAACAATTTCTGTCTCTGCCTGTGCCTAGAGCAGGATAGAGGGGATAAGCATCTGCTTTTCAAAGTCTTCCACTCCGTTCTCTGCATTTGCCGTGACCCTGAACATAAATCTTTAATTATCTCCTCTTTTAGCAAGGATGTGAAAGGCCCACGTGACAGCTAATGTAGGAACCGTACTTTGGAAATAAACTGTGAAAAAGCCATGCTCTCCGAACAAGACTTTGTATAAATCCATGCATGAACAACATCAGGCAGGAAACATGATCTGCTGGAGCACGGAGGGAAATAGTAGGTTTTAGTCTACATGTTTGTTTTATGTATAACAGCCAGGCTTCTCTCCAGCTGGAGAAATGGAAAACAAAACTTCCTCCCCTTCCATCCACGTCAAAAATCCAGAAATGAAACTGAATTATCACACTGAGTTCAGCTCATCTTGGAGTCAACCGAGCGGAAAAATGCAGCTCCTCAGCAGGAGGAAGGGAGCAATGCTTGAACACAGCCCACAACAAGAAAGAAGAAAGGCTTTGAAATTAAAACAAATAAATGATCAGTAAATAAATGACACTGTTAAAGCAAAGTGCAGCTGAATAGAAAATCTGCAAGTGAGAAATGGGCTGTAGGAAGTGGAAATGTGAGAAAGCATTTAAATAGATTAGAGAGAGGGAAGGTTAATAATAATAAACAAGATTAATATTTCACCCAGAACTGGAAAGAGAGAGGGGGGGGAAGCTGAGAAATATTAGTGCAAAGACAAATAAATCAAAGCAAACACACAAAGCTGGGAGGGAAATAATTAAAGACAGGCAAAGTGAGGGTAAGAAATAAGATGAGGTGGGAGGGATGTATCGATGCTTCACCGTTTCTCCTGTGGTGGCATTACTTAGTGCTGTGGAAAATGTACATGTTGTTACTTGCAGACACTGTTCAGGTGTTGCCCACAGACCTTCAGGGTCTGAGGAGCATTTTCTACAGCTCCCCACATCCCGGTTTAACCAGCCACAGGAGTTAAAATGTGGGGTCTCCTATGGGGCCTGGATGGAGAAAGCATTAGGGGTATCACCTGGCCTCTCCCCCTGTGTCCCTGAAGGAGAAGAATACAAAAGCTTTGGGACCCAGACCAGGGTCTGGCCGGGTCCCAAAATCATGCTGTTCTTGTGTGCTATTGATATTGCAATCACGCCCCGGGCCACTGCAAGGGCTTTGGGCTCCAACCACCACCACGGCAGTGGGGTGGGGGACGGGTGTCCTTTAAAGCAGAGAGCAGCCCACTTTTCCAAGCAAGGGGAGAAAAGAGCTGGAAGAAAAGCCGGGGTGAAGACAACCAGGGTAGTGGGAAGTGCAGATGGTGTCAGGAGAACACAGCGTGGAAGTGTTAAAACTGCTTTTCCAGGGACATTAAAAAAAAGAAAAAAAAAAGAAAAAAAAAAGAGGGGAGGGCAGGAGGGTGAGTTTTCCTGCAGAAAGTGGTGGTTGTTAACCCAATGGTGTCACGAAGGATATTAAACAGTTAAGAGAGCCTGGGAATTTTAAGGCAGGAAACCTTAACCCACTTTGCACTTGGCAGCCGGCGGCACGTGTTTGTGCCAGACCTTGGGAGCGAGTTGTGCAAGGCCCGTCCCTTTTGTGTAACTGGAGGCAGACAAAACGTGTTTTCAACCCGTGATGGAGTGGGAAGGTGGAGCAAATTGCCAGGTCCAGGGGTGTTTTAATGTCAACTGATCCCCACTTTCTCCCTGTTTCTTTCTGGTGGGTGGCTCCAAGCGCAGCTCTCCGCCATGATGCAGGGAGGAAAATCTCTGTTTCAACTCGGGGTTGCAAATTGCACCCTCAGTGAATAAAGGAGATGCCATGGGAGAAGGTGGGAAGAAGGCAGCTGTGGGTAGTCCTCCTGGTGTGTCTGAGTCACGCAGATGGTGTATGCAGGGCAAGAGGTCCAGCCCAGTCCCGGACAGCATCCGGCTAATCTGGTTGTGTCCTCTCCTCCTTCTTTGGGAGGTCAGGAAAGGTGAAGTTGCTTCATCTGGCCATGCAATGGCAACAGGGTTAGGTGAAGGACTGGATGGGGGGAGACCATGAGATCCGGAAACCCTAGGAAAAAAAGGAAGATCTGTGTTTGATACTTTGCTGTTCCACCCTAAGGCCTGTTGCAGGCAGCCTGCTCCATTCTTCCCTTTCCCCAAAACACATCTGGACCTGGAGCTTACCTGGTAGGCTCCAAGCAACAGGACAGAGCTCCTCAGACCAACCTCATGGCAGATGACAGAAGCTACCAAACCTCCAGCTAAGAAGGAAAGGGGTATCCCAGATCCACCAAGCCTGGCTGAAATACAAAGTGATCCAGGTAGACTTCCATTTCAGCGTGACAGCCGTGATGGTCACAAAGATCCTTGCATGGTTACAATGGGTGAGTTACACAAGTTATTTGGGGTCACGGCTACCAGCCAACGAGGGACCAAGGCCATTTTGTCACATTCCCTTAACCTCCAAGGATCATTCAACGCCATCAGCTTGGAGGCTCATGGGGAGATATCAAACAGCACATTGTGTATGGATTCAACCGCTGTGATTCACATCCTCCGTCAATGCCCTGGCTGAAGGGCCAAATCCAGACGAGCTCACCAAACAGGGCACAAGCCCAGCCCCAACGCCATCCATGCCATTGGACTATCAACGTGGCTTGGGCACACCCCAACCAGCATTGTCTCAAACAGTGCCCTGACATGGGGCTGCTCCTCATAAGCAATTGGGCTGTAACCACCCTGTTTGTAGAGGAAAGAGATTAGAGTTATGGATGTGAATCATCCTTCTTGGATCCAGGACCAAGGGTTATTATTCTGTGGTGGCATCTCTGCAGCCAGGAGGGTGGACACTGGAGACCTGCAGGGTCTGAAATAAAAAGAGCAGTGAGGAAGGATGGTTGGGAGGAAGAAGAAGAGACAAAAAAAGAGAGACAAAAACCCATTACCCTCTTGGGATTCTCCCAAAAGAGTCCTTGGCCAGTCCTCGCCAAGGTGGACACCACTGGCCACAGCTGTGTTTGGGGAGAAATGATGCTCACAGGTTTATTTAAGTTTGCACTTGTCACACAGCTCAGTTTATAACTCCCTAAACTGTCGTTGCTTTTTCACCGCAGCTGGGGATTTCCCATGGTCCGAGGCCCAGCCCTCCTGGTCTACTTT